GCCCTGCTGCTCGGAACGGGTGGGTGTTCTGGGAACGCGGGGTTACCGCGGTCGCAGCCTGAGCCTTCCTCTCCTAAGGAAAGCTGCTCTTTGGCTTTGCCCGCCCTGGAGCTGGCGTCTGGGCAGCGGAGAGCCCATCTCTGCGCCGGCCATGAGCACGTGTGACAGCCTGCGCGCTTGGCACTGGTGCTGCCCTGCTGCTGCTGGGGTGCCGGCCTGCCGTGACCTGGGGAAGCGGAGTTATGGCCTGTCTTTGCAGGCTCTTGCAAGGAGCAGTGCTGCCTTCTGGGTGTCTTAGCGTTTGGAGAATGCATCGGCGGAGAAGAACATCTGGGGCTGCGGGTGGAGGACTCTGTGGGACCTGTTGCGCTAACTTAACGCCTCTGTGTTTCCAGGTTTGAGGCTTGGATTCACTTTGGAAAACTGAGTTGTTGCCTTGCTATATCTACAAGCACTTTTTAATCTGCTACTATTATTACAAATAGGAAAAAAATAGGAGGGAAGGTATGTACATATATAATACCGGCGTAGTTTTGACTAAGTCTTAAATCTTCTGAAAGTGGCAATGTGCTCTTGCGGATCGGGAAACTAAACTTCCTTGGTGTTTAAAACTTCCATATTTTCATAGGCATGTCTGTTTTTCCTTCTGCTACCAAGCTTTCAGTGGGTATCTCTGGGTGATTTGGCATGTGCTCCCTTCAGGGACTGGCACAAGTTGGTAAGCACTCAGCATGATGCAAGCAGTGTACATTTTACTGAAGGCAGGCAATTGTTGCTCTCTAGTAATTCCCTTCATTCAGACGCTGTCTCACTGATCTGTCGTTCCTTTCTTCCTCTAAATGAGAAGCAAAACTGCAGAGTGCTGTGTGAACGCTAATGAGGTGTATAGGATAATGAAATATAACTTGGTCTTGGAGCCTCTGTTTTGAAATAACACCTAGCATACCATGCTGTCCATAGTGAAATTGTTCAAATCTGTAACCACAACTTGGAAATAGCATGTATTAATGTCATTTATTACAAAAGTAGTGACTATTTTTTTTAGACCCATTACATGCACATTCCTGCAACACATCTGAAACAAATTGGACATGTGGAGTTACTGAGTGACAGTATTTGGCCTACTGGGGTTTTTTTAGGCTTCAGGAATAATATATCTGTTTAGAGACAGGCTTTCTAAAAGCCTTGCTTGTATGCAAGTGTCCGTGCTTGTAACGTAAAAGTTGTAAAAAGAATGTCGTTCATATAGTGTGGTTTTTTTAAATTATTCTTTCAATGTAGCCTACTGGAAATTATGTTTACTATTCATATTACTCCAAAGTATATTTTGGGAGACAACAGGCTTCAAAGGAACCATTACAGTCGGTAGAAGAGTGAAGAACATTCTGTTTACTGATGTATTCTGCTTGAAGACAAGCTTAACAGTCAATGAATGGTGGATTCATGTGTGTATTTGTGTGGTTTTTTAGACTCATGCAACTTTTTTGACAGCACTTCCAGCCAAGTGTCTAGCTCAGCGACATGGTTCTGAAACAGTGGGAGATCTTTGGCTCAGTAATCTTACTCCAAATAAGCAAGCTTGTTTTAACTGCTCGCCCAGTGAAAGTACCTTGCTGCAAACTTGAGAACTGAATTAATTTGAATGTTTTATTTGAAAGTGTCACCTTTGTATTTCTGCTTTCCAGCTGTCTTCCTGAGAGATGAGGGGTAATTCTTATTTATAATATGCTGGTGTGTGAGGGACTTGCACTGGGAACATGACAGCCAGACACAATTCTAGATGTTCATATTCATTCCTTTTCTGCTCATATCTTCTGAGAGCCACATAGAAATACCTAATGTGCCTGTATTGTCACAAATACAGTTTTCTTAGCTGCTGTTCACCATAGGGAGAGCAATTCTCTGTTTTGTTTTATAGGTGGGGAGCTGAGACGGGGGTGAAATATTCCTGCCAGCTAGCCTTAGACACCTGATGGAGACTATGCTTCTATAATCAATAGAAAGGTAATGCTCAACACTGTTCCCTGGACATACTCTTTGCTTTCATTTGAGAGATCCAGGGAGACTAGAAGCTGGAAAGCCCAAGTAATCTGAAGCCAGGCAGTGATACTCCAGCAGACTTGCCTAATGTGGCAAAACTAGTCAGTCAAAATACAAATATGCTATGTCTCAGTCCTGGCATTTTCTGTCTCTAAACAAGCTAAATGGAAGAGTGGAAGCACAAGCATTCGTGTGATGCTTTTGCCTGTCAGAGTTATTGCTGTGAATCGTCTGTGCTTCTTTGTCTTTCTCTTCCCTCAGGAGACAAGTATCTCTACACCTGCCAGGAAACGAGAGACTTCACTCTGAAGTGACTGATAAACAAGTGTGAAGCATGAGGATCAACTCTGCTATTCAGGCTGCTATTGACCTCACAGCAGGAGCTGCAGGTAATGCTGGAGAGAACTTAATTGCACAAAACTTCTGAGGGACAGTTTTAATAGCTTTGACAAATATAAAAGCAGTTTCCTGTTGCTAGAAAAAGCCTCTCTGTATTTTAAGGATATGGAGGTGAAGCAGCTGACCTCAGCCAGTGTTGTAACTGCATCACTGTCGCTCCTCCCTGGTGAAACCCCTGCCAAACAGCGAAGGTGTAACCCTTATTTCAGACTAACAATTTTCCAGAAGGAGGTTTAATTTTCAGTGTTGGTTCTCATACTTACATGAGTTTAAGAATCAGTCGCAAGTAGAGTTTTGGAATGAACTCAGTGTGTGAGTGATTGAGGTGCTGCTTTTTGTCACAGGAACCCTCTCTAATTGAAACAGGCAAGAGGTGATCTGAAGGGTAATTGGCTCAGACAACATCCCAGTGTGAATCTTTAAAAGCTGAGAATCATAGAATCGTTTATGTTGGAAAAGACCTTTAAGATCATCCAGTCCAACCATTAACCTAACATTACCAAGTCCACCACTAAACCAATTAAGGGTAGAGTAGCAATTTCATGTTTCCTGGCTTGGTGGCTGGGTTATTTATAATGAAGCTAAAAACTAAGAATCAGTAAGATTGGAAAGGATCTCTATCAGTCCAATCATCAACCCAACACCACCATGCCCACTAAACCATGTCCCAAAGTGCCACGTGTACCCATTTTTTTTAACATTTCCAGGGATGGTGAGTCCACCACCTCTCTGGGCAGCCTGTTCCAGTGCTTGACTACCCTTTCCGTGAAGAAATTTTTTCTAATATCCAGTCTAAATCTCCCCTGGTGCAGCTCAGTAGTGGGACTGATGATGAATTCGCTTAACTAACTTCCACTTCTGTCTAGTCTGTGCTATAAAGTTTTGCTGGACCAGTTGTGACAGTCACAAATGTGAAAACAGTTGCCATGTCTTGCTGACATTACGACCTTGGTAATGTCTGTGGCTGAGGGCTGAATTGTTTTTTAACTCTACTGGGAAAAAGAGGTCTTTTTGGCATTTCCAAGCTGACAATGTTTATACAGAAAAGGTGGAAGGAAAGATTTGCCTAATGTGCTGTTGTAACCAGTTTAAACAGTTTCATGTTTTTTCTTTCCCATACAATAGCTATTACAGTCAGTCCTTTTATGATGGTGTTAATGCTGTGATTATGACAGTATTAATGGTGTTGAGTGCATTCAAGGGTAGTTATCTGAGGCCATTTGTCAGAGTGGAGTTAACCTAAAAGCAGTGAGAAAGCAAGGGGGGACAGATAACATGAGTCCAATGTGGCACCTTCATAAAGCATTTCACCTGCTGCCACATTTTGCCCAGTGAGTTATCTGCTTTGTTAGCCTTTGCGAAATGTGTCATTGAC